TCACTCTGACTTTCCTGGATTGAAAGAGCCCCTCCTTTTGAAAATGTTCTTACTGAGAGGTGAGAAATTTATTGGTCAGGGACAAGTCTTCTCTGTCATTCTCTTGGATACTGAGGATCTTAACCATTTGTATTCTGTGGCCAGATTTTCAGCAACATCAAACTCAGTGGCCACAGTATTAACAGGCTAAATACAGCTGAGCATCAAGAGGATTTTCACAGTGACCCCATGTGAATCCCTGTAGATGTGCATATTACTGCAACCAAGAGACTGAACTGCTCAAGTCTCTCACTATATCCATATTCTTTCTATTTCTCAGACCCTCCCTGTTCTGCCACTTCTGAAGTGTGGCAACCAGACTTTGTGACTTTTGTGATTCTGGTGTTCGCTGCATTGGATACAATTGTGACAGAGCATTTCTTCTGCTCCCCATTGCTTCGTGCATATCCCTATGGGCTTGGGCTCTCCTAGCTGCAGTTCTGTGCAGAAAGCTCCTGTTCAGCTGTATCTCTCTCATGGTTCCCAATTCCCAGAGTCATTGCTTTCTAGGGAAAAGAAATTGCCCAGTCTTGAAGTAATACAGACTGCACAATTTATCCCCAGAGGTTTGATCTGGCTGTGTTAAAAGGAAACTTGTTTCTATGAACTCAGTTTCCACGTCAGTTCAGTTTAGTCTCTTCGCCAGACTTGCCACGATCATTAATTACTACTGCATTAGTCTTTGTATCCTTGGCAAACTTAGATTTCCTTCCGGACCACTGATATCTTCATTGGTGTCTGGATTGCAGCAGCTGTGAGAGTCCGGGCAGAGAGGACTTGGGATTTCATTTTGCTGGAGAGATAGAGAAGTTGATTTATTGCTGGGGAGGGAAATAAATTACAATGCAAATAGCAAGAGGTGTGTTTGGAAGCCAGGGGTTTACAGGGGAAGTGATGTATTCACCCAGATCCTTTTTTACCCAGTCTTCAAACCTTGTCCTGGCTGTATGACAGCTGTAATCTCACATTTACATTTAGTGTTGAGTATGCCCTTGCCGTACGCAGGAGAAATAAGCAGGTTTGTTTAAATAAGATGCAATCTGGATGCATGTAACTTCAGAGGCATCCTGAGGGCAGGATTAATGTCCCGGCACTCCTGTTCAGCAGAGTTTGATGGCAGTGGAAATACCAGGTTTTGTCAGAGTTGCTACTTTTCCTGCGAGCTCTCCAAACTGGGAGGACCCTCTGCTGAGTGACTGAGCAGTGGACTGCCCCTGTGAAGCATTTCTCTGCTGACCCAGCAGGATATGAGATGTGGCCTAGCTCAGGCTGCAAATTCTGGGCTTCTTACAAATTTGGAGGCTGGATGAAGAGACAAGTGAAGTTTGGGGTCAGAGAACTTTCCAAGGCCTCTTTAGGTCTGTCAGAATCCATGATGTGCAGATAGACAGATTTGTGGGTCTGGAGGGAGCTTGATATTTCTCCTTGACAGCTTCTGTCCCTTCTCCCTCTCTTGACCTATGCCAGTGCCACACAGGTGCATAGAGGAGGTGGATATCCCTAGTCTTCAAGCCTTGACCTGCTGTGGAGCCTGTGGACCCATAGCCCTACTGGAGGAGCACGATAGGGGTTTCGCTCTCCTTCCCTCCTTTTTATCATTCTCAATCACATAATCGGGCTGGTTTGCCTCAGCCAAGATCTAATCAGGAAGGATCTCTTTGACTTTCAGCAAAGTCAGCTTGATGGAAACTTTAAATTGAAAGGCTTTTCCCGACACACTTGAAAATGATTTTGGTTGAAATTGGTGTCTGGCTGCATGATTACAACAGGAGGAGGTTTCCTTCCTCCCAGGGATGGGGAAAAGGATTTGCAGCCCCTCAGACCTCCTGAGCCCTGGTGTATGGGGGCCCTAGGCCAGAAGCTGCTCTGTGGGGTCACACTCCCCTCTCCACCCCTCATCACCTTCATGCAGGTGACATGTAAATCCAGACAGAACCAGGTTCAGTGTCCATGGGAACTGGGCACCTCTTGCATTGTTGAAACTATAGGCCTAAATGGGCTACAGGTTTTCATCAAATAGGATTCAAAGAGAAGGGTGGGGATGGCTGACCTCTCCTAGGGAGGGGGAGGTTGTAGGAGTCGTCTTGTTCATGATAGTGTCCCTATCCTGATGTTTGAGGACTAAATATCTACTTTAGACAAGGAAGGGTGTGTGTGTGTTCAGTCTCAGGCTCACAGCTGGGGTTGTTCTGTGGTGGCTGTTTCACCTATTTCACCTCAAGCTTCTGCTCTGCATTAAAAGCACAAAGAATGTGGTGTTCTCTTTCTTACACACTGTGAATGCAGACGTAAGACCTGGAATGAAATCTCCAGTGCTTTCCTTTCCCTTCCAGGTCCTTGTAGTTTCTGTGGCTTAAGGCTAATAAATGGGTGGCCATGAGTGAAAAGTCCCTAGGGCGGTGGATGGAGCGAGTTGCTGGATGTTGGGATAGGCCTAGTGAGGAAGAGGAGATGGATGGAGGAAGAAAGGGAGGCAGCTCTCTGTCCTCTTTTTTAAATCAGCAGCTATAGTACAGGCAAGAAGATATTTGAGTTTTCTTTCCAGATGCTTGGGTGGGTGTTTCTAAGCCTGGACCAGCTGGTTAGCTCTGTGCCCCTTGCTCAGGAAGGGTGGGCTCTTGGCTCTGCCTTGCACAAGGGGATCTATCTGCAAGTAGGGTGCTGATCCTTGCTCCTTCAGCAAGGCCTCCTCCCTGCACTGTCCTAATGACTGAAGTGCCTTGTGGGAGCTGTCACTGGGCAGGTGTTTGCAAGTGCTTTGTCTTGGACTGCTGACATTACGAAGCCACAACTGAAGTGAATCACTGCAAGGACAGCAGTTTTCCATGCCCTGATCCCATTGGGAAAGGCAATGACAGAACAGCCAATGAACAGGACTGTTGGGGTGAGGTGATAACAACAGCTTTGAGACGAGCCCATCTTGAACAAGCCTCAGGTCTGGCTCTGGCATGTGGGACAGGCATTGATCTGTCTGCAAGGAGGTCTCTTCATATGTGGGAACAGTTTCAGACGCTTCCCTCTGCTGCTCCTTTTCAGGCTTTGTTTAAGGGAGATGGTCCCATCAGGTGCTTCCAGAACCCTGGAGACAAAAGTCTGTTTGGTCATACAGGAAGTTTCTTGAAGAAAAATGTATCATGACACTTTCACTCCTCGACAGCCACAGTTCCCTTCAGCAAGGTGCAGCTTTCTTATGTTCAACTGCCTCCACCTCATGTAGGCAACAAGTCACCAAGGAAAAATAAAACTCCTGTTAAATTGAAAATTTTCTCTTAAAAAGGAGAAAAAAATATGAATGCATAAAATCCTAGCAGAATTGTTTCTTTTTCAGGTCTGCAGTTGATTTTGTTGTGTTGGTGCTGCTTGTGGCCTGGTTTTTGCAATAGTGGTTTCATTCTGCAACTTGCCAACTATGTACCTGCCACTCACTTTAATACAGACAGCCCCAACTTTTACCCAGGCTACAGCTGGTTTTAAAGACACCAGGTGAACTAATGAATGCTCCTTGTGATGAGTTGCAAATTTTGTTTTAATTGAATCTTTGAAGGCAAAAAAACGGAGTAAAGGGCCCATTAAACAAATTATTTTAATACGGCAATCAGATGATGCAGGCTCTTCTGTGTTTATTGAAAGGCCAAGTCAGCTCCAAGCTCAGCTGTGTGAGAACAGCCCAGAAAGCTGGCCAGTTTTTGTACTCTGCTGCTGTTTTAGGGCCAGATCTCTCTCCCTGAATAGCATATTTTGAAGTGGCCATGTGAATTCTTATTAGGCATTCAAACACAGATATAAACCTTTGCATTGTAAACAGAATTATGCTGCACAGAAACTGAGCAGAATACGGTAGATCTTTTCTTTATCAGGTTAACCAGGCATGTTTTTTTTTCCAAAAAGTCCACCCACGCAGAGAGGCTGGGGAATGCCAAAGCTGCATGAATTTTAATTATGCTAGACATGCAACAAGGGGCTACCTTGTAAAGAATAAAGTTAATAAAACATGGATATGGGCTTAATTTTGCTTAATAAGCAGCCCTGGCAATGCACATTTTAGATGTAATTTTCACAGCGTGGAAATTGGGTACAATTCTTAAGAGGTATCTGCATGCAGACTTTCAAACTCAACAGTGCCTTCCTATTGGAAGAGATTTGTTGCTATGCTGCTATAAAATGGTGAATTAGGCCATTCATAATTATTGGCCAGAGATGGGTGTCTTTTTTTCCCCATTCAACTACAGAAACATGCATACACATTTTTAAGTGGTATTAAATGTAAATCTCTTCCTTAATTTTCATGTATGCATTTTCAGTAGCTCTGCAGATAAAACAGCAAAAACCCTGCATATGTTCCTATCTGTAGTTAGCTCTGTGTGTACAGAATTAGTAAAGCAGAGATATGCCTAATGACTGAATCTACAAAACACAGCCCATGGCTTTTGAAGACTCTATGAAAAATAAACAGGATATTCTGTTAGCAACCCTGCGGGAATTATTGCACTTCACTAAGGAAAGATGCCAATAACCTCAGTTTTGACCTAGATAGATCGTTCTGCTTAGGAAGGTAAGGGAATGCAATTCTAGATCTCTTCTCTGCTTAAGTCACCAAAGCCCTGAAATTCAGCCATTCTTTTTAAACCTCAGCACTGAGGACAGAAGATTTTATTTATCAAGAGAACAAAACCTCAGAACTTGCAGTGTCTTGAAATGTTTATATTGGTCACTTTCCATAGGGAGTGTCTAATGCAGAGGCTCCTGGATGCTTGGGGTGAGGATATTTAACGAGCATAGTGAGTCTGATCTTCCAACAGCCCTGGGGAGTCCGAAACTCTGCGTGCTCCTGTGTGCCAAATATGGGGTCTTTCTCCACAAACTGCAGGAGGAGCACTGGCATATCTCTCCACCATGATCAAAACACTGTCTGTGTGGCTCATTTTATGAACCAGTGCTATTCTTGCATTCCCTCTTCATAGGGTGCACTGTGCAGCTTTCCAGACTGAGACTGAAGTGAGGAGGGAGACCAGGGAAGAAGAGGCATGGGAGAGAAATTGCCATAATAACTCTGCAATAAAGATATTAATTATATTATATATATTATATATTTATATATAAATATATTTTTTTAAATTATGTTCCTTAAGGAAAAATGCCATATTGGCCCAGCTAGGTCAAAAAATTCAGCTTCCATTGGTGGCAATGAGGAATGCAACCTGTGGGTTCAAGAGGGGCTAGTTGCATAGGCTGCACTACCCTCAAAGAGAAGTAGCTGATATAGATGAAAACGGGAGGTGTTTTGAACCCTGTTTACCCAAATGAAAGTTGAAGGAGAGAACTTCCACTGGCAGAGACCAAAGACAAGGAGGTTTTTCTGTTTCACTTGGCAGCCCATCAAAGGCAATGTTTCACCTGTGAGAATGACAGTGCCAGGGGCGTGAGGAGGTTGGCCTTCCATTCTCCAGCTCAAGACCGCTCTGGGTTTGCTTGGTGTTTATAAAAGCATGGGCTCTTCAGAAAATTTTGTGAAGTTGGGGAATGATCCAGAGTCGTGCAGAGCAGATGCCCATGTCAGTACTGTCACCAGGAGCTCATGGCACAGTGCCCATGTTCAGAACCAAACCCCGTGGACTCCTTGGCCATCTATAGATAAAGACAGACCTGCATGTTGGCAAGTGCAACATTATATTCAGTTTCACAAGCTCTGGTTTGATTTAATTCCATCACTGCAGAAGCAGAGAGACCTGCGAGAATCCTTTCTTCTTTCTTAGGAGTTGCAGCAACTTGCTTTTCAGATCCACAAATCACCAGGAAAAAATTACTATGACCGACTTTATCACTGATTAGGATCATTTCTAAGTGCAGAGCTGCTGCTCCTTGTTTATAGCTACACAACAAAACAAATTAGTCGCATGTCAAAATAGCTGGAACTTATCTAATATGGTGCAGATAAACCAGCATTTTTTCACCAGAGATTTGAAGACTACAGGCAAAAAAAGTATCTTTATATATACATTGAAAACTTTTTTCTTGGGAAGATATCAGATTTGCTCACATCCTTTGAAGATGAAGCTTTGGATAATTCACTGGCAGTTCAGACAGTGATTCTCTGATTGCAAACAGCTTTCTTTAGGCCATGCCTGTACCTTGTACTGCAATAATTCTTTGATGTCAAGTGAAATAATCCGATAGAGAAAATTAAAATATGAAGCATTTTAGTTACAGGAAAGGGAAGAAAAACCTTTATTGATTGGGATGGTGAAATCTGCTTGAAAAAAGTTGGCAGCAGTTAAAAAGAGATCAACAGCCAAACATTTGTATCTCCCAAATGGCTTTGAATATTTTCTTCTCCTGTCCTCCCCTTGAGAACCTGATTCCATCTTGTTATGGTGTGCATAGAGACTAAGTGAAAATCAGGAAGTAATGCCAGAGTTAAGTTAATCTTTGTGGACATAGTGGGTGGTTGTTTCAGTTGCATTTTTTTCCCAATACATTAAAATAATTTAGAGCCGAAGTTCTTGCAGTGAAGTAGTTACAAAGATTATTTTGCTGAAGTTGATAATTCCTAGGGCATGTCACACTGCTTTAAAGTGCCCTCTTCACTTGGGAACATGGATCAGCCCTACACGTTCAGGATTGGATTAGGGTCGTCCTGCAGCTGCTACTTGTCAAAGTGTGGCTGGGGCAGGTCTGGTCTTCCCAGACGAGATCCCCTGTCCCTCCACCCTCACCCCTACACACTCCCCCAAGTATCTTGCTCGCCACCTGACTCACCTAACAGCTGTCATTGCTAGCTGTTAACTAAACTGAAATCTGGAGAGCACCAGAGGTGTATCTATCTGCACCTTAAATTTTGTTTGGTGCAGTTTTGTGGCTGGATATGGGCCGGAGCCGGGCCAGCACCTGCTGATGCACTAGTGGTCTGTCTTGGGACCGCTGTAGCCAGAGGCAGCCCGGCAGTGCCCACTGCCGCTGCAGCCGCCTGCGCGCTCCCCGGCCGAGGCACTGGCCCCCAGCAGCGCATCCTCGGGGTGCCGGCGCTGTCGCCCTGTCTCTGCTTGCACGGAAAAGCAGGGAAAGTCACGGAGATGCTGGGCGCTCAGGCACCGACAGCAATGGCGAGGGAGGCGGCCAGGGTGGCTGCAGGACTCGCAGGCGGCTCCGTCGGCGGGGCCGGGGGGGACTGCGGCCCCGGGGAAGCCCGGCAGGGGCGGCGGGGCTGCCCGGGCGGAGAGGCAGAGCCGCCGCGGAGCTGCAATTGCCTCGATCTGCCTGCGCGATGTTTCTCATCCAAACCTCGATCACGTAGGATTGCGTAGAGAAGGGCGAGCGGGAGCAGCTGCAATTCTCCCGGAGCCCGGCTCCCGCCCGGCACCGACCCAGCCCGCCCCGCCCGGCCGCCGCGGGGCTGCGGAGCTCCCCGCCGCCTTGGCAGCAGCCGCGAGCGGCGTGGGCGTCCGGGGGGGCTTCCCCGGCCCCTCCTTCCTCTCTCCTCCCCCCTCCCCGGCCGGGCCGGGCCGGAGGATGCGGGCGGGCAGCGGGCGCGGTTCGGCTCCTCCTCGCCCCGCCGCCGTCGGGCGGCACCGCGGAGCATCCTGAGCCCCGCACGGAGCAGCAGCAGTGGCAGCCGCACCCCCCCGCCCTTCTCCTCCTCCACCTCCTCCCCGCCTCGCATCGCTCCTCCCGCCGCTGTCCCCGCCGCGGCAGCCGGGCCCGGGGCCGCCCCGGTGCCGAGCGCTCGGCGGCCGCCCGGTCGGCCGGACGATGTGGGTTGCTGCCGTCGGGGAGAGCCGGTGCCGGGGCAGAGGCGGCGAGCAGGGCAGGGGAAGCTGCGCCAGCCATGGCGCTGTGAACCCGGGGCGCCGAGCTGCGGCGATGTGAGCCCGCACTCGCGGGCGGGTGCTTCTTTTTTTTTTTTTTTTTTAATTTAATTTTTTTTTGCCTTCCCTCTTTTTAATTTGTTTGCTGACCTGCTGCTTTTTTCCGTGGCTGCTTTTTCCTTCCCCTCCCGCCCTCTCTGAGAGCGGAGTGGGGAGGGGGGCAGAGGAGGAAGAGGAGGAGTGCGAACAGAAATGCAGCGCGGCTCTCCCTGAGCCCGGTCGCGGAGCCGCGTCCATGTGCGCGCCCTGCCGCGCAGCGCCTCGGAGCCACCGCGCTGGGGCCGGGGCTGCCCGCGGGCCGGGGGGGCTCTGACTCATCCCACGGCCCCTCGCCGGAGGGCGGCCGGCGGGAGGAAGCGCCGCCGCCTGCGCCCGGGCGGAGCGGAGCGGCACCGCGCCGCAGGGACCCGCGGATCCTCCGCGCCCCCCTATCCTTTGGACTCAGCAGTCGCCGGCGGACCTTCGTCAGCGGGGCGGCCGCTCCCGGATCTACGCGGCCGCTGCCAGCCCGGCCGGGGGGTCTCGCCGACGGCCGCCCGCGCCGGGATTTGCGCTTCTCGGGGACAGACCCATGGGCGGCGGGGTCCGGCGGCCAGCCATGGTTGTTTGCCCGGGCGCCCTGCTCCTCCTGGCCGGCTGAGCCCTCCCCGGCGCCGGGACTCGGGGTTGCAGCGCGTTAAGCGGGTCGTCCCCGTGCCCGGTCCCCGCGGGGCGCGGCGGCGGCTCGGCCCCTGCGCGCCCGGGCGGCGCCCCACGGAGCGGCGCGGAGCGGAGCGGGGGGCCCATGAGCGGCGATGGCAGCGGCTATCGCCAGCTCGTTGATCCGGCAGAAGCGGCAGGCGAGGGAGTCCAACAGCGACCGGGTGTCCGCCTCCAAGCGCCGCTCCAGCCCCAGCAAGGACGGGCGCTCCCTATGCGAGAGGCACGTCCTGGGGGTCTTCAGCAAAGTGCGCTTCTGCAGCGGCAGGAAAAGGCCGGTGAGGAGGAGACCGGGTGAGTACGGCGGGCCAGGGCCGTGGGAACCCGCTCCGCGGAGGGGAGCAGCTCCGCACCCGCCGGGATGGCTGCCCCGGGGCGCCTCCGGCACCGCTAGGGACCGGCTGGGGACAAGGCTTGCTCCGCGCTCAACTTTGGTCTGGGTCCTGGCGGATCTTCTCCTCCGGTCTGGCGGGATGGGTGGGCATCGACCTGCCGCCAGCATCCCTCCTCCGCTCTCCAAAGCGTGAGCGCAGCGGGTCCTCCGGCAGGAGGGACCGAGCGGCTTCATCTGTGCGAGCTTCACTCAGAATTGTATTTTTGCACCTCCTTGCAGATAAGTTTTTTAAACGATCTCTTATTTTCTGCATAGTGACAAGGAAATCGATAAACTGAGGATCAGTTAAAATTGTGGCCATTTGATAACTAAATCCATCAAGTGCTGCTTCATGAGCAGAGTTCCGTAGGGAATTTCATTAGCTCAGAAAGCTTTCTAGATGGCAGCTGCAGAACGGTTACACCTGATATTGAGCTTGCAAGGATCTAGAAATGCTCTTTAGGGTAATCCTTTTTTCCCCTTTACTTTCCTTTATTCTTTTTTGCATGTATGTGCTCAGTCTTGGTTCCTTGTGAAGAACTTCAGCCCTAGTGTACACACTGTTCACTTTTCCACGATGAAGTCCCACCACCCACAGTTTCAGTTCTGAGCAGTGCTTTGTGCTCTCAACCGTCCTTGGTAGGTGTGAAGACTCAGTACCTGGCAAGAATAGGCCCTCCATGGTTTCTCAGTGGAATTATTTACTTCTTGCTTTATTTTTTTCACTGCTATAGGTCACCACTAAGGAGAGAAAACAGAGATTGGTTTGAGAAGCTGCTGTGAACGTGTAGTTTTCTCAGGTGTCCAATAGTATCGTGGTTAATAAACAGAGATTCTTGTTCACTCAGCTCTTCAGGATGTACTATCAACCAGTGTAGCCCTCCCATGTTTTCCATGTACATTAGTATTGTGCTTGTGCTTCAAAGGGAAAAAAGTTGCCCTTCTTTTTTTTTCCTACTCAAGTTATGATGAGTGGTGGCTTACTGGACTATCCTATGTATTAGTTAACCTGTGAACCAAGACCAAAAGATGGCCCTTGCCCAGAGAGTGTTGGCATTTTGTCTCAGGAATCACTCTTTGAAGGATAAAGAATAGGAACTGGTAGTCACACTGACAAAATAATTTTCTGTTCCTCTTTCCTCTC